ATTTCACTAGATGCTGAAAAAGCATTCGACAAAATTCAACACCCCTTTATGATAAAGGTCTTGGAGAGAATAGGGATACAAGGGTCCTACCTAAATATAATAAAAGCTATTTACAGCAAGCCAACAGCTAACATTAAATTAAACGGAGAAAAACTCAAAGCCATCCCACTTAAATCAGGAACACGACAAGGATGTCCACTCTCTCCATACCTCTTCAATATAGTGCTTGAAATTCTAGCAATAGCAATAAGACAACATAAAGAGATCAAGGGGATTCGTATTGGAAAGGAAGAAGTTAAGCTTTCGTTATTTGCAGATGATATGATAGTGTACATAAGCGACCCCAAAAATTCTACCAAAGAACTCCTACAGCTGATAAACAGCTTTAGTAATGTGGCAGGATACAAGATCAACTCCAAAAAATCAGTTGCCTTCCTATACACTAAGGACAAGGAAGCAGAGAGGGAAATCAGAGAAGCATCACCTTTCACGATAGCCACAAATAGCATAAAATACCTTGGGGTAACCCTGACCAAGGAAGTGAAAGATCTACTTGACAAGAACTATAAGTCTTTGAAGAAAGAAATTGAAGAAGACACCAGAAAATGGAAAGACCTCCCTTGCTCTTGGATTGGGAGGATCAACATAGTAAAAATGGCAATTCTACCAAAAGCAATCTATAGATTCAATGCAATCCCCATCAAAATCCCATCAAAATTCTTCACAGATCTGGAGAAGACAATTATCAACTTTATATGGAAAAACAAAAAACCCAGGATAGCCAAAACAATCTTATACAATAAAGGATTGTCTGGAGGCATTACCATCCCTGACTTCAAACTCTATTACAGAGCTACAGTATTGAAAACAGCTTGGTATTGGCATAAAAACAGAGAAGTCGACCAATGGAATCGAATAGAAGACCCTGACATTAACCCACAAACCTATGAACACCTGATCTTCGATAAAGGAGCTAAAAGTATACAATGGAAAAAAGAGAGCATCTTCAACAAATAGTGCTGGCAAAACTGGATGTCAATCTGTAGAAGAATGAAAATAGATCCATATCTATCACCATGCACAAAACTCAAATCCAAATGGATTAAAGACCTCAATATCAGTCCGAACACACTGAACCTGATAGAAGAGAAAGTGGGAAGTACTCTACAGCACATGGGCACAGGAGACCACTTCCTATGTATAACCCCAGCAGCACAGACACTAAGGGCATCATTGAATAAATGGGACTCCCTGAGGCTGAGAAGCTTCTGTAAAGCAAAGGACACTGTCACTAAGACAAAAAGACAACCCACTGACTGGGAGAAGATCTTCACCAACCCTGCTACTGACAAAGGTTTGATCTCCAAAATATATAAAGAACTCAAGAAACTAGACCGTAAAAGGCTAATCAACCCAATTATAAAGTGGGGCACTGATCTGAACAGAGAATTCTCAACAGAAGAACTTCAAATGGCCAAAAGACACTTAAGGTCATGCTCAACTTCCTTAGCGATCAGGGAAATGCAAATCAAGACAACTTTAAGATACCACCTTACACCTGTCAGAATGGCGAAAATAAAAAACACCAATGATAGCCTTTGCTGGAGAGGTTGTGGAGAAAGGGGTACACTCACCCATTGCTGGTGGGAATGCAAACTTGTGCAACCACTCTGGAAAGCAGTGTTTCGGTTTCTCAGGAAATTCGGGATCAACCTATCCCTGGATCCAGCAATACCACTCTTGGGAATATACCCAAGAGAGGCCCTATCATACAACAAAAGTATATGCTCAACTATGTTCATGGCAGCATTGTTTGTAATAGCCAGAACCTGGAAACAACCTAGATGCCCTTCAACGGAAGAATGGATGAAGAAAGTATGGAATATATACATATTAGAGTATTACTCAGCAGTAAAAAACAAGGACTTCTTGAATTTTGCATACAAATGGATGGAAATAGAAAACACTATCCTGAGTGAGGTAAGCCAGACCCAAAAAGAGGAACATGGGATGTACTCACTCATATTTGGTTTCTAGCCATAAATAAAGGACATTGAGCTTATAATTCATGTTCCTAGAGAAGCTAAATAAGAAGGTGAATCCAAAGACAAACACATAGGCATCCTCAGGAATATTAACCTTCATCAGGCGATGAAAGGAGACAGAGACAGAGACCCACACGGGAGCACCGGACAGAAATCTCAAGGTCCAAATCAGGAGCAGAAGGAGACGGAGCACGAGCAAGGAACTCAGGACCACGAGGGGTGCACCCACACACTAAGACAATGGGGATGTTCTATTGGGATCTCACCAAGGCCAGCTGGCCTAGGTCTGAAAAAACATGGGATAAATCCGGACTAGCTGAACATAGCGGACAATGAGGAATACTGAGAATTCAAGAACAATTGCAGTGGGTTTTTGATCCTACTGCACGTACTGGCTTTGTGGGAGCCTAGGCAGTTTGGATGCTCACCTTACGAGACCTGGATAGAGGTGGGCAGTCCTTGGGCTTCCCACAGGTCAGGGAACCCTGATTGCTCTTCGAGCAGATGAGGGAGGGGGAATTGATCGGGGGAGGGGGAGGGAAATGGGAAGCGGTTGTGGGGACGAGGCAGAAATCCTTAATAAATAAATAAATTTAAAAAAAAAAATGAAGAATTAGAATAAAAAAAAAAATAAAGATGTGGAAGGAAAATTTATTCTTCTGTGTTTAACTTAGTTGATTTGTTCTGTTATTTATGGAACACCATCAAGAGAGCCAAAATGTTTAGGATTTGTCCCCAGAATGCACTCAAACACTCAGTCCACCACCGTGAACCACAAAGATGCAGGCATGTACATTCAGCATAGGTAAACGCTCCAAAGAAATCCAGTTGGGGTAGATGCCTAAATGGAAAATAGGTCTGAGATGGACCAAAGTAAAATCAAGACCATCAGAGCATCCATCATCGCTGCCATCAAGACCTCCTATCACTTCCTAAGAAAGACTGTAGTTTGGGTATAGCTGCAAAACCAGAATATGACAAAACACACAAAATATCCATAAACAAAGTATAAAACAAAGTGGCCATTGTTTTAATTGTAGTTCTTTCATTATTTGCATTTAATGTTAATTTTGCTTCCCAGACACTTAGAATTTTGCCCATAAATTTCTGCCTGCCACCTCCTTCTGAAGTTTTACTCCATTACTGTATTTCTTCTCCTTATTCCACAATAGATGATAATGAGAGAATGCTATTCATGTTCCTAATGTCTCAGATAAACTATAGCTCATGCATAATATTTAAGAATTAAGGAAGTCACAGAAGAGGGGGAGGAAAAATTGTAGGAGCCAGAGGGGTTGAGGACACCAGGAGAACATAACCCACAGAATTAAGTAGGCAGGGCTCACGGGGTCTCACAGCAACTGAAGCAGCAATCACAGAGCCTGCATGGGTCTGCTTTAAGTCCTCCACATATATGTTATGGTTGTTGCTTGGCGTTTTTGTGGGACTCCTAATAGCACCTGGGGGTGTCTCTGACTCTTTCACCTGAACTTGGAACCCTTTTCCTCCTAATGGGTTGCCTCATCCAGTCATGATATAAGGATTTTTGACTAGACTTCTTGTATCTTGTCATGCTGTGTTAGCTTGATATATTTGAGAGGCCTGCCCTTTTTTGAAGGGAAATGGAGGAGGAAGAGTTCTAGGGGAGAGGGGAGAGGAGGGGCAGGAAGGAGTAGAGGGATGGGAACTATGGTTGGGATGTATTGTATGAGAGAAGAATAAATAAACAGACAAACAAACAAGTCTAAGTGGGTAAGGCCAGTAAGAGGTCTGCTTAGATACAGTGTAATCTAACAGTTCACAAGTGGTCTATGGAGTTACTGTAATGTTCCCACTGAACAGCTTGTTCTGCACCCTGACAAATTTCCCATGTGATATGTACATAGTAACATCTTAGAGGCACCACAGGCCTCCACAGAAGCCCCACAAAGAGAAATGACTTTGTTCCCACTGGGGTTTTCCTATACAGATTCTGTATGCTCTTTTCTATATGCTGCCTAGACTTATGTAAAAGTGCAGTCTTGAAATCACAGTCCCCTTATTTTATGTTTTTCATCAAATCCACTGATGCCATGTGCTATAAACCAACCCCATCTTCTCCTTCACCCCAGAACCAGCAGTGTGAGAGGAAGGGATAAGGGAGCCACAAGCTTGAACTAGAGAGTATATATGCTTTTGTTGAGTAACAGGAATCTATCTTTTTATCAAATAATTAATTAATTTAGTATACAGTGTTATGCCTCCATGTATGCCTGCAGGCCAGAAAAATTACCAGGTCTCATTACAGATGGTTGTAAGCCACGCTGTGGTTGCTGGGAATTGAACTGAGTAACAGGAATTTTGACTTCACCATCACCATATTGTCTTAGACTCCAAGCAATGGAGTCATTTTCACAAAAGGAGATCTCCCCAACTCTCTACCCACTATAGTGTTAACAGGCATTTGTTTGATTTTATTTGCCAGCTTGATAAAGAAGAGTTTGAGTGCCAGGGGCAGATATTGCCATCCTTTCTTAAGCTTGACACTATTGCCTCACAAGCATCTCCTCACCATGACATTGTCTCTACTAGGGTAGTGATGGGGTCACCGTGACATTGTCTGTACTGGGGTAGTGATGGGGACACCGTGACATTGTCTCTACTAGGGTAGTGATGGGGTCACCGTGACATTTTCTGTACTGGGGTAGTGATGGGGACACCGTGACATTGTCTGTACTGGGGTAGTGATGGGGTCACCGTGACATTGTCTGTACTGGGGTAGTGATGGGGACACTGTGACATTGTCTGTACTGGGGTAGTGATGGGGTCACCGTGACATTGTCTGTGCTGGGATAGTGATGGGGACACTGATAGGTACCTTGATGACAAGACTCCTTGTTGAAGCAGTAGCAGCAGCATGTATGACAAGGGTCACAGCTATTTAAACATTTTAAGTAACAAAGGAACATGACATACCCACAGTGCATCCCAGACATCCTTCCTCACAAGGCATGCATTCTTCATACTCAGAATCCTGGAATTCACCTGAACAGGGAGAGGAATGGAAAACACCACTTAAAGCCACTGGCTAGAGGCATATACACTGCTAGGAAACATATTTGGTGTGTGGTTTATTTCTATGTGAATCACAGAACAATTATGAAACCTGAAACCATCTTGAAGAAGGATGTTATGTGCTTTAAAATCCCATATTAATTTAACAGACTGAACTACTCAGGTGGGCACAAATAGAACAGACTTAGCCTATATTCCATATAACTGGTCTTTTTGCTTGCTTGTTTGATTTGCTTTGATTTTTTGCTGTGTAGCTCTGGCTGACCTGGAACTCACTTTGTAGCTTAAATTAGCCTTAAACTCACTGCTTTCATTTCCTGAGTACCGGATTATAACCATGAACCACCATGGTTGGTCATATAACTAATTTTAAAATAAAGCTGGTAGATTAGATTTATTCAGTAAATCAGCTCTGAGTCTAGGAAAATGGAATTAGATATACAAAGATCAGACTCTATGTCTGACTTACCAAACATATTTAAAATTAAAAAAAAATTACTGTCTCTGTGAACAGGAAGGAGAAATAGAAAGGGTGCTTAATTTAAAATATCTTGAAACTATCTTCAGACATGGGCTACCCATAGTCCTTATATAGCAGAGTTCTTACATGTAAGAGACCAAAAACAATCGATACTGCTAAATTTACCATCTTCCAATATAGCAAAGAAATCGAACAGTGAGAACAACATACAACTCACAGAACATTCAAAAATTTCAAATAGTATTAGGTATACTGATTTTCTGTGCTTCTCATGAGCAGTCCTACTTGGTGTTATACTTGCTCCTTTACAAATAAAGCCCCAAGGCATGGATAAATTAGATTAGTTTGGCCCATAGTCTCATACCTAGTAACTGAGAAGAAAACTGTTGGCCAAGACTGAGATTTTGACCTCAGTTTTTCTCTGCTGCTGGGGAGTTGTGGACCTCGGAAGTGGGAAGGGAAGATACCTGCAGCCCCACTTGCTGACTGAGCTATTCAGAGTCATTCTAAGTGTTCATAATAACATTGTGATAATTGGCAATAAGGTAGTCCAATCCTCCCCTGTGCCCGAGGTGTAATCTGTCACCCCACGTCCTGGTGCTGAGTAGGACCCCGCAGAAGCCTCACCTTGTCCGCACTCCAGCCTCTGGCAGGTGTGGTTGGTGGGCACGATGAAGTAGCCACTCATACATCGACTGCAGACATGTGGATTGTAGCAAAGCTCACAGTTGTCTGGGCAGGGCAGGCAGGCATGTCCCTTGGCAGGATAATGGCCCACAGGGCAGCTCTCCCGACATTCTCCCTGGTATAGGAAGCGCTCCCGACCATGCTTGTCTGACCAGTCAGAGGGACGAGGGAAAGAGAAAATGCAAAAAGCAGCCATGGAGCTCATATAATGTGAGATGTTTTATTAAAAAGAGAAACAACTGAGTGCTTTTGTTCCTAGGGGATCGCGAGCAACAGAATGGATTTAATAAAAAAGTGCAATATCTATATCCTTATCGCAGAAAGTTTTCCTTGCAGGGAATCATTTTACACTGTTTTATATATTCGAGTGAACAACTTCTATTTGGGATGTCATTGCAAAACCACAAGCCGTGTTCTGCGGATTGCTACAATTCAGAATGTGTTCAACTTTCCCAAGGGCTCCTTGGGATAAAGGTAGACCCGTTCAGACTTGGGGGTTACAGAGATGCCATAACAACAAACACATGCTTCGTGGCAGGCACACTCGATAGCCGTGTAATCTTACAGTGATCTGGAATCACTAATAAAGTCACAAGCTTGTGCTGACTAATGTCTGGGTTTTTGCAAAGCCACTAATTGTTCTGCCTTATTGCCACTCTAAATCAAGCACACCTCCACAGCTCCACATCGTCCCTATGGGTTTTATTCTGTCAACACTGGGCATTATGAGAAAAGAATCTGTCATTTCCCAGCAATGACAGATCATGGGAATTTGTTCCTGGAGAGAACAGAAAAATCTAATCAGTAAGACAAACATCAAGATCAGTTACAGAGGATTATGAACAGCCTCAAATATTTTTTTATAAGCAACATTAAGATTAATACTACCTATCGACCTAGGGGCCCCTTGCTCCCAGTTTTGGGGAGTCGCAGTGCTCAGCACGCTCTGGGTAACCATCTACTCATTTCTCTGAGACCCAGACTTCCCACATCTGAAGACTAGCTGATCTGTGTTGCCTCGAATTACCTGGGTCTAGCATTCACTCAGCGTGTGAGCTGCCACACAGAGATCAAACCCTGACTGTCAGGCTGCAGGGACACTGAGTGTGTGTATAAAGTCAGCAGTAACCCCTTGTTGCAGGGACAGGAGTGGAAAGTCAGTAAAATGTTGGACTAAACCACGTGAACTTTCGGACATTTCAGCCTTTCATTGAAACTTCCTTTCTGGAATTTCTTGAGGTGAAGCATTAATTTTCAACATGGTAACCTCAGGGCATAGATTAGCCCTGCCATGTCAGCATGAGCTTTTGATATAAAGAGAGCATGTTAAATAAGAGCTTGATAAACAATTGCCCTCTCCAGAAAACCTCTGCTTACCACATATGGAAATGATCTGTGGCCGCTTTTTGACTGCTCATTTGGCCCTTATCTGATAGTTTCTTATTGTTCAGTAAGTGAGGACCAACCTCCTTATTATTCTATAAACTCCTTGACGGTGAGTCAGTTTTTCCATTGCAGTGACAGAAATACCCAACATAAACACGTAAGGGGATGGATGGAAGACTTATCCTGGCTCTCAGTTCAAGGGTGTCAGTGCATCCTGGCAAGGAGGTCATGGTGGAGTAGAGACGCTCACTTCCTGAAGTCACACAGCAGAGAGGATTTCCCCCACTAAGTGGCTTTCTCATCCCCCACCCCTCCATCTGGACCCCAGCTTATGGGATAGTATAGCCTACATTAAGGGTGGAATTTCCCTCTTAGTAGATCCTCCCTGGAAACCTCCAGAGATTTCCTTTACTAATCTATGAGGCATTTCTCAATCAGGTCAAGTTAGCAAACACTTAACCATCATACATCATGCTCCCGTTTATTATATTTTCCATTGCTTCTAATTGTAACTTGTGCAACGGAAGGAGGCATTTAATATTTAAGACGATAAATGAGATGCAGCCCTTCAAGTATAAAATATGGAAAAATGTCAAAGTCCTTTCAATGTGGTTTGGTACAAGTAGTAGTAAGATGTGAGACTATTTGCCTGTGTTCTACTTGAGGGGCATATGCTGAGCTGTGGAGTGCTGGATGGGAAAGAGATTGTAAATGCCCATTTGTCCTTTCTTTCTTTTTAAACAAATAAGAAGAGGCTTACAGAAGTGAAGTGTCTTCTAGTTAGTGAGAAAGCTGGGGGTTGGGGATGTGGCTCAGTTGTAGGGAACTTGCTTAGCATATATAAGGCTTTAGGTTTGAACCCCAGTATTGCATAAAACCAGGCATAGTGGTGCATGCTTCTAATCCCAGCATTGAGGAGGTAGGGATAAGAAGATCAAAAGTTCAAGGTTTTCCTAAGCTACACAGAGAGTTTGGGGCAGCTTGAGATACAGGAGGCCTTGTCAGAAATCCATCCATCCATCCATCCATCCATCCATCCATCCATCCATCCATCGAGGATGTAGGGTGAGTTGTGCATTTCCCTAGTCTTGAAGGTCCTCCTGAACCATGGATTCTCTCCCTTATCTTCTGTATGTACACAGTCTACATGCCAGGTGCTGCCTCATGTTCAGAGCATTGTAGAGAACAGGTAGGAAACGTTCACCACTCCTCTGGGGCACAGAGTTCTTATGGACAAGAGTGATAAGTAACGTGTGTGAAAGAGAGGTGCGGGGCTCCAATTTTCTGTGTTCCTGTCAATCTAAAATGTTGTCACTTGTTGTTTCATTTTTCTTGGTTTTACTGTAAGCAAGAATAAAAATAATCTCTTTCACTAGACCAATGACATAAATATAACGGATAAGATGCTAACAGTCACCTCGGGGTCAGCTACACCCAGCGAGGACTGTGGAGAGAAGCAGAGTAGCCTGTTTCAGGCTCCACCCCAACAAATCTTTGGGAAAGATGGGTCCAGTGTAACCACACACCATCCAACTATTCAGCGGTGACCAATAATCCACAGTTCTTGTCTTTAAAATTGTACAAAATTTAAATTTGCCTCACACTGAAACTCTACTGACTCTCTAGGCAAAACAATGTGATTCTGGTTCACAAGAAGACAAAACATGATAGACAAAAAACAGGGCTGGAGCAGGGTCAAGGGGTCAAGGGTTCAACTGCAACATGCTGGAGGGCATGGCCTCCACTCCAGTGACGGCAGATACTCTGAGAGTAACTCAGACTGGCCCAAAAGGTCACGTCTGCCATGAGTGAACTGATTACTTTGTCATCTAAATGGCATAGCTTAACTCAGAGACCTGACATAACCTTTAATGCATTATTGGTTTAGGGACCACACGTGTCTTGCTAATTCTCTAGCTTTTCGGGTCTACCACCACAAAGCTTGATTTTACTGTGTCTGCATGCCATGCTTGACAACACACTTAACAGACTTTCCTCTTGCTTCCCTCATCTCCTTAGGGGCAGTGAGTCAACTGTGCGATTATGTGAACGAGGTTTGTGTGTCCTGAAGGCAACAGAGCCTTCAGGTTGTTCCGGTGCTGTAATGAGTAGCTGTCTACTCTGAACCTCAGGCTCCATCACAAGGCTTCTGAGCCAAACCAAATGCTGGCTTGTGAGAGAACAGACCCAGAGGAGGGAGGAGCCAGCAGCAATTGCCCTCACCTGCTCCACAGGAGGTACAGTTGGAAGGCCCCCTTCCTCGGCATCCTTGGCAACTGTGGTGGCACGGATAGCATTGCTTCTTAAGTTCAAACTTCCATGAGGCGCAATTCAAAATGCAGCGGCCATCATCAAAAACTCTGGAGGAAAAGCAGGCGGTGAGAGTTCATCTGGGTGACTTTTTGGAAGGAGCCAAAAATCAGAACACGTGGTGTGCATGCTTTGCTGTATGAATTTGGTCTCATTGTCCCAGAGAGTGATGCCTGGGGCTGGTCATCTCAGGGCATGTGAAATATTAGTCACAGACCCATCCTTGGCCCAAGATGTGGATCCATCAGCAGGCAAACCAGAAACTGGTGAGGGAGCTGATCCCGAATCTGCTTCCTAATAAGCTAACTAGGCTCATGAAGATTGAGGTCATATTGTAGGCTTCGGGTCAAATCCAGCCAATATCAGAAACAGTCTCTGACTTTCAGAATGCTAACTGGGCCTCTGAACCCAGAGGCATTGGAGAAGGAATTCTTTCACCATGCCCATGGCTGGCGAGCGGTGTGTCGTATCTAAGTGCCCTGGAAGAGTAGAATGAAGCACTATTTTGAAGGCTGGAGACCACCCACGAAGTTGCCTTATGCACATCATAACTTGTAAACGAACTTGGATTTCATTTCCTCCTATGTGGATCGTGCTCACAAACACCCACAAAGGCCTGGCACGAAAGTTAGAAAATGGGCTTCTAAAACCTTTGGTTTTACATGTGCATGTATACATCATGATGCCATTGCTAATATTTTTGTGTTTGGGCTTCATCTTTCTTTGCCGAGTAATCATAAGAGCAGATGGGATTAAGTCAACCAAGTCCAAGCATTCTGCTCGGAACAACACAAAATGTTTGTAAGATAAAAGTAGGAATCAGATAGGTAGTGTGAACAGATGAAGGGTGCCGGGGTGGCACCTCCAGAGTTTTTAATTCAGTCGAGCTCAGGGAAAAAAGACTGAAAACTTGCATTTCTGACAATTTTTCTGGCAGTGCTAACGTTACTGATCCAGAGGGCACACATTTGAAAAGCTTTATTATTTACTCCTTATTTAAAGTTTTGCTTGGACCTGCACACAGCGATTGTCTATGTTAATGAAGCATGGTGTGGTGTTTCTGCACATATGCTTAGCATCTATTGATGATAGCGGGGCGGTTACTGTTTCTCCTTCCTTATCATTTCTTTATGATTAGACTCCTCAAGCTCCTCTGGTCTGAATCTTCATAAAAATCTACAATTGGGGATTGTGGCCTGCAGCGGCCCCACTATGCTGTGTGGTGCCTAAACCTTCTTCTCTCTCTTACCCAATCTTCCTCTGTCACACTTCCCTCCCCACCCTTCCTCACCTCTCATAATCACTGGTCTACATTCAATTTGACTAGTTCTGCTCTCCTCAAGCCAATGTAAGAATATGCAGTATTTGTCCTTATGTCATTTAATACAATATCCTTTGGTTCCCATCATTTTGCTGCTAATGTCAGGATTTCATTCTTTATGATTGAAAGATAATTGGTTGTGTTTATATACTCCATTTCTTCATCAATTCATCTGTCATTTGGGTAGCAAGGTTCATTGTATCTTAGTCATTGTAAATGGTACGGTCATAACACAGAAGTTCTGATGCATTTTTGGTGTGCTAACACCATTTTCTGTGGACCCTATAGACATTACTTGGAAAGTCATTGCTCTATGAACATCTAGATTGCTGTGGGGTGCTTAAGAACTGAGCCCATGTAATGCAGGCATTGCCAAAATGGGGTCTTGTAGACTTTCCTAAGAGTGATACTTAGTCTTAGTCTTGCTGGTTATATGGTTAACTAAGTGCAGACCATATCCCTGAGAGTATAATTGTGCTACCAAATCTAGGAGCAGAGGGGGCAGCAAAGAGAAGGAAAATTTCCTTTTCTATACCACCTCTCAGCACACTGGACATTACACAACACTGTTAGGTGGAAGCCTCCAGAAACTTAATCCTGTGGAGGCACTGGCTTCTTTAAAGCCCACCGCTTACAGGGAGTCAACCATTAGTTGGGGAGCTGTCTATATCAATTCCAGCACTGGAAGAAGTTGGGAGTAAAGCATCCGTTCCCTTCGCTGTGCCATTTGCACCAATCTGGAAATAGAATGGAATTCAAGCCCACAAGCAAACACAAAAGGTCACCTTACTCTTGGCTCCCTGCTCCCTCAGTTTCTGCTCACCAATCTCAGCACCACTGGAAACAGTCTTCTTCTTGGTCTTCTGCAGAGTGTGTCCCAGATTTAAAGCAACACTCACACACATGGCTGTTCATGTCAAAGAAAGATGGGAATCCTAACAGATGATCTGGCGAGTCAGGGCTGTCTGTGTGTCGATTACTAGCTTGGCCTAATTAAAGTCATCACAAGGGCATTTCACGTAACTACTTGTTGTATTAGTATTTCAATGCAGCGAAACTTGATAAAAAGCCTTTTCTCTCTCCATTTTCATTGAAACAGATCAAATGGAATGCTTAAGGCTGTGTAAGAGCAGAGGTAACTCCCAGATGCTTTTATTTAGATTTATTTACCCTGTATTTCTGCAAGACTAGGAAGTGAGCCTAGGCAAAGAGGACCAGAGCATTTCAGAGCTGTGCCTGTTACATAAAGAGCTAAGGGGTTCTTCTTTCACAGTCCAAGTTGTCTTTAAAGAGCTGAACAAAAGGTTTATAGAAATGCAAAAAGAAAGCCCAAGATGTGAAGGTGATTTCTAAATTTCTGCTTTTCACTAGGGCTCCTGGATCACACCTCTACTCTTAGCACTGAAGAAGTTGAAGCAGGAGGATTGCTATGAGTTTAAGGCAGTCATAGGCTACCCAGTGAGTTTCAGGCCAACCTAACTTAAAGAGTGGGACTTTATCTTTATTTTAGTTTTTACTTTTTGCTGGTTTTTAGTAAAACAACTTCAGAGTTAAATTCTTAAAAATATTGTGGAAAAATTTAAAGAGATAGAGAAGTATGTATTACATTTGTAAAAGATAATTGTCCCCACCCAATGGGTGTATCATTCAGCTTCCACAGTTGCTAACACCTGGCTAATCTTATTTTCTTTCCACTAATTTACTCATTCATCTTTGAAGCTAACCCGAAAGTTAGTGTTAACATTCTTGTCACAGGTGGAAGTTCTCTGAAGACAGTCTTTGTTTTCCAGGAACTAAAGGGATCCAACAGAGTAAGAACCAGAAAAAGCTCCGAGACCAGCCCTCCAGGTTATCTCTCTCTTGTCCTCGGTCCAGATCCATCTTTGCTGTTTTCTGTCCTCTTTTGTTCTGGAAGCGAGCCCACTAAAAATTCTATCTCAGGGTCATCAATTATCCTCATTTGGGAGGTAGAGTTCCCACTGGCCTCCAGTGAGTTTTAAACAAGAGGAAACATCATTACGAAATCTGAGGTTGGGACAAGAGATTGGGCTCTTCCACCCCAGCTAGCTTCTTCCCTCTATGGCAGGGCAGAGTCTGTGTCCCCTGTTCTTCAACATCTGGCAAATCTACCTCTTCACAGGTCCAACCCTAGCTTTAAATCTAGGGCTGTTGAACTTCTCCCACCATTGCTTGCTTTGAGCATCTCAGCACCCCTTGGCTGTAACCTCAATGGCAGGGACAGTGCCCTAAGGAGCTGTTAGATGCCATAGCTATCTCAGAGCTAAATATCAAGCAAGTGCTTTTGCCCCATTTTGCATGGACCTGACTTTAATTACTATGGCTTGGACCTATTCTACAAAATGTATGTGTTATAAACTTGATCCACAAGACAACAAGGCCGAGAAGTAGGGTTTAATATAAGTGGATTAGCCAGTGAGGAATCTTACACAGCAGCTGACTTGACCATGGTAATAGGTTAGTGATAAAAGCAGACTTATCTTCCTTTGGTTCTGTTACTGTCACCCTCTCTTGCTTCCCACCTTCTTCAGTGGGATGACCCAGCACGAAGGCCTTCACCAAAGGCCAGCGGCATGTACATAGATCTCCCAGTTCCCAGTAACATTTAGCCGATGTTATAATGTTTATAATTTATCCAGTCTCAAGTATTGTGTTATTGCAGCTCCCAATGAGCCAAGACACGGATCCAGGCAACACTTTGGAAAACACGTAAGGAAAATACTTTGCCATTTCCTCAAGGACAAATAAGTCAACATCACCTTCTTTCCAGATAATTTCTTCCTTTTTATCTTTCAGCTCTCTTCAGGGAAAATGCCAGAAAAAAGAGTCAAATAGTTCATTGCCATGCTACATTACCCTTTCTTGGGCATATATGTATATAGCTGACGTCAAAGAAGAAAGATGTGGGGAGGAAAGAATGCTCAGAGGAACAAGAAGAAATTATTCCTGGGAATAAGATTTTCTTAGGAAGATACCCTGGTTCACGATTCATGTGTATGCTTAATTTATTCAAAGGCTAATACTCAGTATACTGCACAAACAAAAGCACCAAGATGTGCTAGCAACGTTACCTATCATTTGTACGAACAGTCTTACCACGTATCAGGGTGAACATTGCTTTCACTGCCTGCTTGGCCTTGTATCTAGATTTTTTTTTTTTAAGTAGCCGTTTACAGTGGTAGAATTTTTCCCTTCCTTTTCATTTCTCTTGTGCTAGGGGCAACCACGGTTTCTCCACTGTACACTGGATGATTGAAATTGCCTCATTAGACAAGTGTTCAAAGATGTTCAAACATGCAAGACAATTTAATTATTCATAGTCATACAAATGGGGGCTAGAAGGAGAAATAGGACTTTGTTTTGGTAATATCTTTATCTGAAAGTGTGCTTTGAAGTTTCTTTAAAGCAAATTCAATATTTAGAGCAGTAGCTCTTAGAGACAGTTAGAAAATAGTCTTATGACTTTTCATAGAAAAAGCCATCAACAGCCCACCCAACTCTGAAGCCTGCCAGCTGTCATAATGACTAGCCTGGCAAAATATACCTGTTAGTGCAATAGTGATAAGAATGTTATAAAGGTATCAACTACTTTCTGATTGGATTTAAGGCCTGCTTCACAGAAGGTAGCTCATACCTGGTATTCTAAGCCTGGCCATGAACATACTATTATTGTTTTACTAAATGGACATGATATCAAGCTGCCCTCTAAATACTTATCTTTATACCTGTAGATTATTTCAGCTCTCACTCTTTAGAGGAGCTTCTCTAGATAACAGTTTATACAAAGACATCTGGTCAAATTGAAGAGAATAAATGGCTTATCCCTGAATGGGACATCTAAGTAACTTCCCTCCAAAGACTCAGGGAGCATGATGGAAGAAGGGGCAGAAAGAAACTGGGGAAGGTGGTTGTGGGTCAGTGTCTTCCGGAAATGACATGGTCAATGCACTCAAGAATTTACTGCAGCTGTGATTATGTGCAGGAGACTTGAATAAGATCAGGCCTGTCAGCATTTCAATATGGAATAAGAAAGGTCTAGTGAAGCCCTTCTCCTACCCATGCGACTATTGACAGTTAATGATGACTGGACAAAGAGTTACCATTTTCTTAAGTCGTGTGGCCATTGATAAATTTCTCACATTATACTAAATGACCTTTCATCCATGCTTATGATGACAACCCTATTTAAACTCACTTTTTGGAAAGAGGGAGTTTCAGTGGGAGAAAGAAGGAAAAAGAAAAAGGACAGTAGGGAATGAAATGGACTAAAGTTCACCATATACATGTATAAAGCTTTCAAAGACTATAAAATAAGTTGATAATTTAAAAATGCAACAGCTGAATACTATTCTGTTATGCAAATGTGCCATATTTCATTATTCATCTATCAGTTGCTGGACATCTAGGCTTATTTCCTGGCAGCAGTGAACACGAATGAGCAAGTGTCTCTGTAATAAGATAAAATCCTTTGGGTAAGTGTCCAAGAGTGGTCTAGCTGGACCAGCGAGAGCTCTAGTTCTAGCTTTTTGAAGAGCATCCACACGAATGTTCCGAGTGACTACTCCAGTCTCACCAGCAATGAATAAGCATCCTTTCCTCATGTTCTTGCTGGCACGTGCCACCATCATCTTTTGTTTTTAGCCATTCAGACTGAGGCAAATTGAAATGGTGCTGTGGATGGAACTGGAAATAATCATTTTGAATGAAGTAACTCAGAAAGACAAACATCGTATGTTTTCTCTCATTTTACATATTAGTTTTGACTTTTCATGTGTGTTTGCTTCATTTGTAATATCCATAAAGGTTTGGAAATTAATAAGTGTTGGAAGACATTGCTGGCTGGTAGAGAGCTCAGCCTCCCTGTGTCTGGCAGCTTATCTCAATAATTCGGCAACAAGGAGCTCCCTCCCTCCAGCAGAACTTCCTTCCTCTACCTGCCCTTATCTGGAGAACGTCCACAGGCCTGAAAGGCTGACCTTATCTGAAAGCTGTCTCTAAACCAGATCCTGACTTATCTTTAGTTTGAACTCTGGCATAGATCCCTGCTAGAAGACTCCCTAAGACTTGTGCTAGGAGCCTTACGACAGGAGTGTGCTACCTAATGAAAACTAGGGTTTGCTCCCAGGCTCTCCAGTTCTATATATTCCTCACACTCTGGAATAAAGTTGAGCTGATTCACTGAAATCTATCTCCCGGGGGGCTGTCTCCGTTTGTGCTTACAGGTCACATACAAAGTTTTCTATCATCACTACTGCCTCTTGTCCTCTTGACCCAGTGGCCAATAGACCAAAAAGGAAAGAAGGCTCCCACAGGAAGAGGACATGGTGGGGATCCACCCACTACCAAAGAAGCTTCCTACCATATCGGTATAGCTTCTATATGCAGCAAGTGGTGAATAACAGAGAAAACCACAACTAGCCAAGGTATAGAGAATAAGAGACTGTAGAATGTTCAGCCCGATATGGGATATCTTTATCATAACCCTCCTCCTAAGGTTAAGGGGTCATTGTCGAAGAGGGGCATAAAGACCTCTAAAAAGCTAGAGATGACGGATAAACACAAAGAGACAGAGTCCTTCATATACAGCACAGCACATATACACTAAAAGTGATTGTGACAACATTTACAAAGCTCCCAGAACACGCTTAAGTAAGACAAAAGTCTCAGCATGAAGGCCAACATGAAGTTCCACCTTTAGTAGAGGAATTAGTGGCAACTGATGGCTGATGGGAGAGGAAATGAGTTTTCTTTAAAAATGTTGCCCTGGGTAAGTTGGCCATTGCATCAGAAGGTCACATATCCAAGATAAGTACTAATTGGACTTGGTGGGTAGAAAAAAATATATGTCCCAAAGTTGAGAGGTCTGGGAGGAGTTGGGGGAGGGAGTCAATATGATTAAACCACATTGTAAGAAGTTCTCAAAGAATTAATTTTATATAAAAGGAAAAATATAATTTAAAAAGAAAAATTAAATACATATTGAAATTTGAAAATAACAGATCTATTCAATTTTTAAAACTACCACAGATGAGAAAGGCCAAACAAAAAAGATAAGGCAAAGAAAATGTAAAAAATTAAAAAAAATCTTTAGAACTAGATTCTGGAAAAAATATTCTGTGAATAATATTATTAGGATAATTAATGAGACTGGACTATGGACAAGGTATTATAAAAACAGTAGAATATAATTATATTTTCTTAATTTGAAAATAAAGAAAATATTCTCATGGGTGGCATTGGGAAACCTTGAGGTTTCTATTTCTTTCTTTTTTTCTCTGTTTTCCTTCACCCTTCCTTCTCTGCCTCCATCTTTCCTTTCGGTCTTTGTCCTTTATTATTGCCTCTTCCTTCTGAGGGAGTTCTTCTGACAGTCAAACCCATGGCTTTGGTGACACACAGGTCAGCAAGCCCACAGTTATAGAGCAGTCACTATAGGCTGATCACTTGGAGAATAGAGAAACAAATACAGCACAGCCCCTGCTCACGGAGGTGTCACAGTCCCCAGGAAGAATGAGTGCAGAATGACACTGGTGCGGAGGGAGCACCTCAGTAGGGTGGCAGAGCCCCGCCTCCCCGCTGTGGCAGCATCCTCCACCACCTTGTATAGAGACAGACTCAGCTCCTCACACAGTTAGCTGAGCGGGGCTGAGGCCATTCATTCAAACACCTGGAAGCCCCCAAGTATTAAGTGCTGGAATCAGAGGAGCATTGATTAAACATTATGTCAGGCCTTCAATTCTCTCTATTGAGATGTCCATTGAATTAGCAGTGTTGCTCCTTCCATTATTGGCTGTTTCCATTTGACCTGTAGGGAAGCTTTTGGTTTTTCTTGCGTGTTGCCAGGGAAGGAGATGCAAATGTGAGATCTTAAGAAATTGAGTCTAATGAAGACATGTATTTTGTAAGCAGACATCTTCAAAGCTACACATGCTCCAACAGACATATCTATAGAGTAGAAGGTCATGACATAGTAGGCTGTGAGGAACTGAGCTGGATCCCCAGGGCCCATTTGTTAGAGGGCGAGAACTGACTTCTATAACTTGTTTTGTGATATTGACACAAGTGCTGTAGCACACATGTACATGGGACTATAGACCACACATAATCAATAACTGCATTTCTTTTAAAGAAGGAAGGCTAATTCTACTGGGAAGTGTCAGAATTGCCTTTACACAATAGTTTGTCCTTGAGCTGATTATAGAAATGAGTGTATATATATATATATATATATATATGTATGTATGTATATATATATATATATATATATAAAATCAGAAGATGAAAGTGCTGTTTGAGGGATGAGTTTGTAGGATATGGAATTTCACTGGTCAAAAGTGACATCGAAGGTACCATTTTCATTAGCAAGATAACTCTTCCAGCATCTAGAAAACTGGTCTTTGCCAGGAGTAGTAGACCATGTGGGAGAGGATATTACAGAGATGGGTTGTGGCCAGACCATAGGGAATGTCTCTATCATGGGAAGGAGTTAAGGTCCTGTGTCCAGAAGGCCCATTAGGTGCCACTAAAGTGGTTAGTGCTCCCTCTCTATGCCCCACCCCCAGGAAGTCCTAAGCGGTTACTCACCTCGTTATGGGGCAGCTGGTACAGTCGTCTTGAGTCGGTCCCGAGCACGTGGCACATGAGGCTTCACAGGCACGGCAGTGGCCTTGCTCATCCATATATTCTCCTGTGGAAAAAAATCTAGCTGCTTACTGTACTTCACACAGCAAGACTGCCTGGCTGGCAGTCAGGGAGAGCCAGAGCTCTTGATGGCTGCTTGGACAGTGGAAACGGCACAAGGGATGGGCACAGTTGAAGTCAAGCAGTGGCCAGGCCACACCTACATCTTGTCTCACCATGCTCTACTGGGAAGGACTGTAGTTTGGGGCAAAAATGGGAGCAGAGTTTTGGCTGCAATATGGCAGATGTGAACTAGATGTTATCCTGGACGATGACCAGTCAAGAGACAGAGGGTGTTTTCACTCAGCTGGCAGGTTTATCTTTCCCCCAGGAGTACACATCTGATCTTACCCCAGAACTCAGTGTAGCTTCACAAATTTCTCTTGAACGTAGGAAATCATCACCAAAGGGGCAGATAGAGGTCAGCCCCAGTGAAGGCATCAAAGACAGGATGGCACTCAATGAATTCAACCCTTCTCCTGTACCATATTCTTTCTCCCTTGTTATTGTAAAGAACCAAACCAAACACCACCAACAAAATCACAACAATCAGAGAGACTTCTTAAGCCAGATCCCAAAGCCTCAATTTGTATTTGTTGTTTGAAAACAGATAATCCTCAGAATAAAATATCCAGATTCTGGCAGAACCACCCTCTTCACTTAGCCTCAGACCACTCCCAGATGTGACAGCTGTTTAATTATCTGTAGTTTGTCAATCTGAGAACCACTGGGAGGGGGAGGTACAACAATAAACTCATGACTTAGTCAATTGTAGCACAAATAATACAAACCCAGAGACAGATATTGGGGTTCAATCTGAAGATCAGAAAAGCAAAGCAGTCAAGCCTTTAGACTTCTCTTACCTCTAAGGAATCCTCAGACTGAAAGAGATTGAGTTCCTGTCTCATCCCACCTTATATTCCTCTCTCGTGCTGGGATTAAGGACATGTGACTCCCTAGTACTGGGATGAAAGGTGTGAGCCACCACCACCTGTATCTGTTTCTGCATTGATCTTGTGTAGCCCAGGGTGGCCATGAACTCACAGAGATCCATCTGCCTCTGTCTCCCAAATCCTGGGTCAAAAGGTGTGTCACCACTGCCTGGCCTCTAGTGGCTTAGTTTTATCTTCTGCTCTTCAGGCAAGCTTTATTTATAAAACATAATTAAATATTACTATAGTTAACCCACCTCATTGATCCTCTGAGATCGCTGCTGGCTTTACTGCAGTTGCATTCAGAAAAGTCATGAGAAGAGACTTGGTGGATGAGGATGGAACAAGCCATCCTCTGCCTTCCCAAAGCTTTACTGAACTACAGTTAGGGAAGGTAAGCCTTCCATATAGAACTCATTCACCGGCAAGAACTAAAGCACAAGGAAAGAAATGAAGAGCTTGCTAGACTTTGTTCTCCTATAGCAGAAAATACTTTTTGTTTAAAGATGTCTTTCACATAAAGTCTATTAAGTTGGCTAAGGAAAAGGGAAATAGGTATGTTCAGAGTGAGGCAAACATCTCCGAGGAATGTACCTTCTGTTACCAAAATACAGTGTGTTGTGGAATTCTACTTTAAGTATGGAAAGGTGTGTTACATTTGTTTATGCTGTGTTTGTCTAATGATTTAAAGATGTGTTGCTTTGCCTGCCTAAAGCACCTGATTGGTCTAATAAAAAACTGAATTACCAATAGTTTGGCAGTAGAAGGATAGGCAGAGCAGGCAGGCAGAGAGAATAAATAGGAGGAGAAATGTAGGCTTCAGAGAGAAGGAGAGAGGAGAGAATGAGGGAGAAAAAGAGGGAGATGCCTGTGGCAACCTTTCCTTTCTTTTCCTTTCCTTTCCTTTCCTTTCCTTTCCTTTCCTTTCCTTTCCTTTCCTTTTTGTTTTCTTAAGGCAAAGTTTCCCTCTGAATCAGGAGTTTGGAATCAGCTAGATTGGCTGGCCAATGAACTCCAGGCGTATTCCTATTACTGTCTCACCAGCCCTGGGATTTATAAGTGTATTTGGTGCACCTGGCTCTTTATGTGGGTAGTGGGAATTGAACTCACATCTTCATGGACCATTTTGTGTAGTCGTTGTTTAGTAGGCACCTTACTGACTGAGTCATCCTCCAAGAATGGTTACGTTGAGGGAATAGTTACAAATCAAATGCTCCGCAGGGGCCTTGTACTTCTTTAGAATGTCCAAAGTCTAAGTCAGAAGAGAGAGATGCACAGGAACTCTGCTAAACCTTTGCAGATCTAAAGGTAGACAGGTTGCTTTGCTGTCATGCTGATCCCTACAGAAACTGACACTGATTGGTTCTTCTGATTCCCCATCTTCTTCCCCTTTAACCTCCATGACATACAGAGGTGTCCTGTCTTTTGACAGTATGGAATAATGTTGTCCTCTGAAAGTATGCTGAGACAAATCCACTGCTATTCTGGCTCACAGCCAGCCCACAGGCCTCAGGTTGGACATTCAAGAAAGCCGATCCAGTGCTAGGGTAAGATTTCTACCTGGTAACACCTCTGTCTGCTGGACCAAGAGTTGCCCGGTGGCTGTGAGAGTTGTGCCAGCTGCACTCTCCAAGTCCTCATGACTACAAATGCTGCATCACCAGATAAGCGAGGGTTCTTAGGGTGTTCCTTTGGAATGTTTATTCATTCACTTTGTGCAGGTTTTTTTTTTTTGTCCACGTTGCTTATTTTTAGACAATGTCTCACCATCTATTTGGCTATCCTGGATCTTGTATATGACAAGGCCTACCTGCCTTGTCATCTTCTTGTCTCAGCTTCCTGAGTATCAGGGTCCCATGCCCGTGCGGAAAATGCCAAATTTTCCCTCACTTCTATCAGTACCTTGGCTATGTGTTGATCTGTTCAACTATGATGAATGGCTTCCATTTAATGTTCACAAAGTAACATCCTTAGCGTTAATGACCACTGAGCATTGGCTATCTCTAGAATTTTAAACATATGATCTAAGTAGTTTTCAACCTTCCTAATGCTGAGACCCTTTAGTACAGTCTCTCGTGTTGTGGTGATCCCAGCCATAAAATTACTTTTGTTGCTACTTCATAGCTATAATTTGCTACTATTATTAATCATGTGTATATATCTGTGTTTTCCGCTAGTCTCAGGTGACCCCTACGAAAGGGTCATTCGATCCCCAAATGGGTCTCAACCCACAGGTTGAGAAGTGCTGATAAGAGCAAGTTTTTATACAACCTCACTCTATTGTGTTCCCCACTTGGGCTGGGCCAAACTTTCTCCAAACCCGTCTTCTACTCATCCCTGCTAGAAGGAAACACCTGACTTGATGATAAGCTATCTGAGTTCCCTCAGCTTCCTTTTTCTCGATGCTTAAATGCTTTGTGAGCTCCTTGACTGTCCTCTTACCACCTGTTGAGGAAGATTTATCTTTCCTCCTGCCCACAGTCAACTCCCTATAATGCTCTTCAACTTTTTTGGGGTATTTCTGGCCCATCCCTCTGTCTTCGATCTCCACTTTATGTTTCCGTCTGACATCCACAAAGACTCTCCCCGAATCTAAAACCTTCCCAAGCCCCTTCTTTTCTTGATAAGTGACTTCTCAGGGCTGTTTATTTTCCTCTTGTTACTTGGAAACAAAATGGAGAACATTCTGTGACCTTGAAGCTTATGTAAGAAAGTCATCAAAGGACAGCTAAATGGTTCATCTCCCTCCAGTCTGCTCGCCTCTTCACTTTAGAGCAAGCACTGGCTTTATAACAGATGACAATAGAGGGACCTGCCCCAATTTCCATATTTATGTGGATGTCCAATTAGTCACATAAACAACTGCCCTCAGCCCTTGCATACAGGCACAAGTTTTTCCTTGCGTATTTGGAACCAAGGAAGTCAGATTCCAAGGACATAAGAAAGTGACTCTTTTTTTTCCCCCTCTTTTGGAACAGCAAATTCTTGTCATCTGTCTTCATTGCACAACGAAGTTGAATGTTTATGACAGGCGTGATATACAAAATTCTAGAAGAAGTCGCTGTTAGCAGATGTCAGGATCCAGCGTTTTGTTCACCTATCCTACAAGTTCTTCTTTCTGGCATCTTTGTCTATTTGTATTATGTCCAGACTGTATTTCTCCTGTGATTGGAAAGTTTCTGTTTCTCTATTCATTTCTCATGCTGGTTTGCAGGGGTTTAAAGGTCACTCAGGAAGTAAGGTCACACGAGGAGGAATGATGCTTTGAAATCTGAAAACTCAGTTTTACAATGAATGCTTATCAATTTAGAAGTGTACAAGCAAGTGACTTGCCATGCTCACTCAACCCTTGATAACACGGTCAAATGTTATTAATAAACTTGGATTATAAAGAGACTCACATGAGGTCATCCAGCAAAGGTGAACATGCATTATATTATCTCCAGTTACAAAACACAGTCCAAGATATAGTAATAGACTTTAGGGACACATGGGCAGACAGTGAGCTAGTTCTTTCTTCCTATCTGTCTATTTGTTTCTTTCCTTTCCTCCTCTTTCCATACTTCATCTCCCCTCTTTTTTGGGGGACAAAGTCTCACATAATCCAGGATGGTCTTAAGATCACTATGTAAAAAGCTGCAGAGAGTCAATACTCAGGCTGCTCAGCGAAACTGGCAACACAGAACAGCTGGATTCCCTGTACCTATTCCTCTCCACTTACTAGCCATTTGATACAAAAGTGGTTTGAAGCTCACTTCATAATCTATTACTTAAGTATTTATTCCTTTGGTATACACACACACACACACACACACACACACACACACACTAGACTTTGTTTGTTTCTATAGAATAAAACTCTTGAGATGGCATGCTGGCACATGCCTTAAGTCTCGAATATAGGAGATGGAAGTAAGAGGATCAGGAGCTCAGGTGGGTAGTAAGTGGAGAGGAATAGGCACAGGAAATCCAGCTGTTCTGTGTTGCCAGTTGTTTCATTGAGCAGCCTGACTATTGACCAACTGCAGTTTTCTACATAAGACCTACTTATGTGCCTTATCACCCAGGTCCCAGG